GTTTTAGTATGTTGAGGTTACCTATGTGTCTGTGTGTGCAAATATATTCGCTTCTATTAGTCAGTTTAGTTCCATACGTGATACACGTTTTGGACGATCATGTCTCGATTCCTAACTGACGAGGCAGAAGATTTTTTCGTAGTAGGTTGCCATTACGTTCTGCGGCAGACTGGCTGCCAACCAAGGCTATAGGACACAGTCTGTCCTGCTATTCAAACCATAACTGTGAGAGAAAAGAGATGCATTCAGTTATACCTTTTCCAAGAGTATTTGTGCGTGAGTGGATGTAACAAACCCGACTGGAATTCGACCTCGTGAGCAAATTAAAAACATTCCTGGTTGAATCCAGATTCGCAATCCTGCAATTTTGGATTCACAAGTTTTCATTACTGCGATTGTTTGCCTATTCCGCCATCTTAGCTAATAAAAAAAAATTAAAGGGACACAACTCTCTAACTTTCAATAGCTCATGATCAAATGAAAAAACTACACTGTTTCAAAATAAAATTGTCCGTGTTTTCAACTTTACTCCTACGGGCCGTCGCCCAACATACCATACCATTTTAGAATTAGGCCGACTCTGTGAGCAAATAAAAAACATTCCTGGCCGGATCCTGACACGCAATCCGGAAATTTTGGATTCCAAAATTTTCATTACTGAAATTGTTTTCAGCGATTTTTTGTGTCATTTTTTTTTTGTTGTTGTTCAATAACAGTTTTTATAACTTGGAAATAAATTTGGGAATAATCGAAATTAATAGCGAAATCCAACAAAAGTCACCCATGAAATAAAATAATTGTACGGAAAGTAAGTACCTACGTACATCAGTCTTTAAATTAAGTGGTGGTAAAAGAATTATCATTGAACTTTTAAAATGTAATCTTAAATATTAATGCAATACTTAAATGCTGCAATTTTGATTTCTTCTGTAGTTTATTGTTGTCTATCGCATCTACTCCTACCCTACCTATTATAATGAAGGACCGATCAAGAGCCTTTTCGCAGGAGCTAATTCAAATGCCTCCAGATAGGGTGACTTTTAAGCTAGTATATATATATATATATATATATATATATATATATATATATCCTGTTTCCTTTATACTTCTAATCTCCAACTATTCAAATGCAATGTCAATCGACAAATGCCTTGATCTATCCCTATCCTTCTCTTCAACATTCCCCTATCACTCCCTATTTGCTCTCGCTCCAACTCTCTGTGACCCCTTGCGTTCTAGTGGCTTGTCGCCTTGCTTGGGCTGAAACGCTTAATATATATATATATATATATATATATATTATTTTTATAAAAAATTATAACATAAGTATGTTATAAGATCACTATAGCCATTTTGTTTCAACACAATTCTGTGTCTTCTCAAATTGATGTTGAAAATAAAATAAATGGTTTTAAAAAGTTTCAGATTAATTAACGATCCTACACTAAAAAGCATTGTTACAAAAGTAGAATAACCAATCAAAAACGAAGTATAGAAAGATTCAAAAAGACTTTCAACGAAAATCTGAATAATAACTAATGATTCAAATTTTTTTAAATTCACTTTTAAAATAATTTATTGAAAAAATTGAAATTGACATCGATAAGTATTGATTTTTATTATTTCTCTATTCAGTAATTATTGCTGTAGCCAAGTATCGACCACTCATATATATCTTGTTTTTCTATTTTTCTATTTTATTCATTTTGTCTTTTTTACAGATACATTTAGAGAAGTTTCACATATTGTTGACATGGAAAACAAAACGACACTATTAGTCAAAAAAGTTACAAATAATCGCTCATTCCGACAGAGATTACTTTCATGGTGAAAAAGATAAGGGAATCTTTCTTTCATGGTAAACACGAACAGACTATTATAAGAAAGAAGAAATTCAGACAGCTACAATAGCAAGAAGCAACTCCACATTTTAAAAACATACTAAGCATCTTGATTCGTAAAATGGATGAAAGAGACTTTCACAAATGGGGATGTGACTACCGGGGTTCAGATGGAACGTCACACACATAATCTTTTTAAGTTTTAAATTATCTTGATGATGGGGAAAACATCTGTTTTTAGATTTTTAAATTTTCGAAGATGACACGTGACGTAAATTTAACCTGATGAATATTTATGAGCGTCTTTTAAATTTTGAATTTCGACTAACTAACATTTCGTTTTTGTTTAAATTAGATGCCATGTACAAAACAAAATATCATCACTTGCCTTGATAAAATGAGATGACGAAACGCGAAGGCAAAGATTAAGTACCGTTTTTCCTATTGTCTATCTTATTCATTTTGCCTTTTCTAAGAACTTTCACACGCAAATACACGCATACACAGGTTAAATACACACACACACACACACACACCATATATATATATATATATATATATATATATATATATATATATATATATATATTATGAAATGGACAAAGCAGATATGAATGTATGTGAGAGAATCATGGAAGATTTGTAGTTTAAAACAGTAAAATCGACCTTGCTAACCAATCGCTCCTCTGTGGCCGAAATGGTTAAGGCACGTCAGGCTATATGACGCTTCCGTATAGGATACAGGTTCGATTCCTGTCGGATGACGAATATTTTCTATGAAAATTTCTCGGACATTCAAGCCAGTAAATGTTGTTTAATACTGTTTATTGTTACTTAAATATTTGTATCTATAAAAAGAATGTATAAACATGAAAAATGTCTCTCTCTATATATATATATATATAACGTTAGGTTGCTTTTTTTTTACTTTCATATTAATTGTTTGGATGAACTGTTCGTTATATACCTAATAGTACCTAAACTATATGAATTTAAGCGAAGTACTAGACTGGCGTCGGGATCTCATCAATTTACAGTTGAGCCGTAAGTTCTATGCTAACAGTTTCTTTTCTCACACTTCTCGCTTGTGGAACTCCCTTCCGGCTCCAAACATTCCAGCGAATTTTAATCTGCAAAAATTTAAATGAAATGTCAATCGCTATTTAATGCCTTCCTGATTACTCTTTTCTCTTCCCGTTCATTATTAATGTTTCTGTTCGTAATTCTTCCACACCCAGTAACCTCTTGCGTCTTAGTGGCTTTACTGCCTTGCTTGGGGTGATACTGATTAAAAAACATTAACAAAATGTTAAGACTCCTTATCTATAACAAGCTTATTTTCGTCTTTTTGAATTACCTTGTATCATATAAGATTGCATGATGCAATTGGTTTCTGTTGTCGGTTTAATCATTATTCAGACATGATTTGTGGTCAAAGTTCAAATTGTTGTCATTGTCAAATCAGAAGCCACTGTGATAGCTTTTGTGTAATGAATTATGCTTGGAATATGGACAAAAGATTCCCATTTTAATCGACACAAAGCATCCAAATTGTGGTTTTAAGTGATTTCTGTTATGTAATTAGTCAAAAGTAGCTTGAAACAAAACAGTTGTGGACACGTGACTTAAAAGGATTCATGGATTTTTCACGGCAAGAAAAACCTGTGCTAAAAATGGCCATTTGAAGACGAACATGGTCATATGATCTAAAATATTCTTTTTTACATATATACTTATAATAGCCTGGGCACCTCGAGGCGGTGTAATAGTTAGCAAGCTTGTCTCGCTAGAACAATTACGACTGAGTAGTGAGTTTGATCCTCACTGGGTGCCCTATACTTTCGGCCTTGTGCCATATCTAAGCCGAGCTTAGAAAATCAATCGGCGTGGCGTAATTTAAATCCAAGCTTGTCTCGCTAGAACAATTACGACTGAGTAGTGAGTTCGTTCCTCATCTTGTGTATTTATACCTTCGGCCTTGTGCCACATCTAAGCTACGCTTAGGAAAAATATGGCTTATGTCAGATATATCCCCAGACGAGGCTCTGCCGAAGGGCGGAGTATCGTCTCGGGAAACTGACTCCGTTTTTACGTGGTCTCTAGGGAATTTTTGCCTGAGCCTACAGGCTCGGATACCCCACTTTAAACTCGGCCCTGTGCCACATTTTGCTGCGTGGGGCAGCGGGTAAATAATTATACTTATAACCGCCTGGGCACCTCGACGCGGTGTAATAGTTAGCAAGCTTGTCTCGTTAGAACTATTACGATTGGTTAGTGAATTCGATCATACGTTCGGCCTTGTACCACATCTAAGCTACGCTTGGAAAATCCCTATACTTATAATAGCCTCCCTTTAAAATGTGCATATTACGATATTTTAACCTTTGTGGAGATATGTGCCTTTTAATTTCTTACTAATTTTTCTAGTAAATTTTACTCTATGGCACCTACATTTGATATTCTTTTTTTCCATGTTTAGGCGATATAGTCAGCAGTGGAAGAAGTCTGCTAATTTCTCCACCGAATCTCATGACAATGAAAATGCCTCGTAGGGTGAAACTTCCCTTGGGATCGAAACAGAAACCCTGATGTATTGATCTCTAATCCTTGACCGTTCTTCAGTAAATAGATTTTCGTCTTCATAATTTATTACAAATTGTTTTTAACTACAAGATACCCTGCGTCTTTATTTCTCTCTTTTTCTTTTTCTCTTTGAATCAAAGACTTTCTATTTTTTTTCTTTGTTTATATGTTTCTCTTTTTCTTTGCTTCAAATGTTTTTTGTTTTCTTTCTTTGTCTCTCTTTCTTTTTGCTTCAAATGCTTTCCGCTTACATTGTTTTTCTATCTCTCCTTCCAAAGTTTTTGAATTGCTTTCATGATCTTTTTTTCCCCACGGCTGTGCATAATTGTCTGTAGTAGACTTCATAAATTTCTCCACTGAATATCATCACAATAAAAATGTTTCTTGGGCTGAAATTTACCTCGTGATCGAACCAGAAACCCTAATGTATTGGTTTCTAATCCTTGAAAGTTCTTTAGTAAATATGTTTTCGTCTTGATCACAGATTATAACGACACTGGGATATTATGAAAATAGATTTAAAATGCAAAGAAAGGCAAGAAAAAAAATGGAACAAGCATTGATATTTCGGATTGGTTAAATCGATATATAAACAGCCAAGGCATCAGCGATACCATATTCTGAAAAAGAAAATCGAAAAGAAATGAAGTAAAAAAAATAAAAGAATGCAAGAACGAATAAATGATTGAAAAATATTTGGATTTTACAAAAGTGATATTATTAGAGTAATTCTTTATCGTTAGCCATGATTCTCTGGTATAATGTCCCTTCAGTATAATGTCTTCACGATTCTAACAACCGGAAGTTGATGGAACAATGAAAGTTCGGTAAATGCGAAAATGTCCAAGTAATGTTTATTAAATCAGAAACATTTAACACCAAAAAATAATTCACCAGAAACCTAACCTGCCTTAATGGCCGACAATTGTAATTTTTAATTAATTTTTAAATCCCGGAATGCAAACTGAATACTAAAACTGGTTAGAACAAATTTTATGCAAAAAATACCGTAAATTGTTGTGTACAAGTCAATCTGTCGTACAAGTCAATCTGTCGTACAAGTCAATCTGTCGTACAAGTCAATCTGGCGTACAAGACAATCTGTCGTACAAGTCAATCTGTCGTACAAGTCAATCTGGCGTACAAGACAATCTGGCGTACAAGTCAAGCTGGTGTACAAGTTAACCTCAAGAATTTTAGCTCAAAATTCAGACTTAGATCTCTACTTACCACATAAGTCGACCCCCAAACATACGGTAGAGTATCAATCGGCCAAAACTTAGGCCTACCATTAAATGTTGTTAGGCTACAGTAAACTGCAATTATGTGTCATTAAACTGTCATTGCTATCATGAAATTGTGTAAATGAAAAACATATCATAGCTAGCTGTTTGAGTGGCCGCCATGTGTTTACAACTCGGTGGTAAAGGTTTACATTTTACAACTCGATGGTAAAGGTTTGCATTTTACAACTCGGTGGTAAAGGTTTACATTTTACAACTCGGTGTAAAAGGTTTGCATTTTACAACTCGGTGGTAAAATTTTACATTTTACAACTCGGTGGTAAAGGTTTGCATTTGGCTACTCGGTGGTAAAATTTAACATTTTACAACACAGTGGTAAAGGTTTGCATTTTGCTAGTCGGTGGTAAAGGTTTACATTTTACAACTCAAGTAAAGTCTAAATTTTTACAACTCGGTTGTAAAGGTTACATTTTACAACTCGGTGGTAAGATTGACATTTTTACAACTCGGTTGTAAAGGTTTACATTTTATAACTCGGTGGTAAAATTTTGTTTTTTTACAATGTTGTTGCATTTTGCTACTCGGTGGTAAAGGTTTACATTTTACAACTTGGTGGTAAAAAACAGTCTAAATTTTACAACTCGGTGGTAAAGGTTTACATTTTACAACTCGGTGGTAAAAGTTTTCATTTTACAAACTCAGTTAAAAGGTTTACATTTTTACAACTCGGTGGTAAAGATTTACATTTTACAACTCACTGGTGTAAAAGGTTTGCATTTTACAACTCGGTGGCGTAAACAACTCGATGGTAAAGGTTTGCATTTTACAACTCGGTGGTAAAGGTTTACATTTTACAACTCTGTGTAAAAGGCCGCAACCGGTGGTAAAGTCTAAATTTTACAACTCGGTTGTAAGGTTTACATTTTTGCAACTCGGTGGTAAAGATTTGGTTTATTTTACAACTCAGTTGTAAATAATTATGGCTTACATTTTACAACTCGGTGGTAAAGATTTACATTTACAACTCGGTTGTAAGGTTTAAATTTTACAACTCGGTGAAAATTTTACATTTTTTAACTCGGTGGTAAAGGTTTGCATTTGGCTACTCGGTGGTAAAATTTAACATTTTTCCATGTTTTACAACACAGTGGTAAAGGTTTGCATTTTGCTAGTCGGTGGTAAAGGTTTACATTTTACAACTCGGTGGTAAAGTCTTCAAATTTTTCGTCAAACTCGTTGTATTGATGGGTTTACATTTTTTCTCTTTAATTTTTCTCGGTGGTAAAGATTGACATTTTTTTTTTCAACTCGGTTGTAAAGGTTTACATTTTATAACTCGGTGGTAAAATTTTACATTTTACAACTCGGTGGTAAAGGTTTTTGCATTTTGCTACTCAGTGGTAAAATTTTACATTTTACAACTAAAAAAAGGTGGTAAAATTTTTAAATTTTACAACTCGGTGGTAAAGGTTTACATTTTTGGTTCGGTGGTAAAAGTTTTCATTTTACAACTCAGTGGTTTACATTTTACAAAAGAAAGGTGGTAAAGATTTACATTTTTGGTTAACTCGGTGTAAAAAGTTTGCATTTTACAACTCGGTTTAAAGGTTTACAAACTCGATGGTAAAGGTTTGCATTTTTACAACTCGGTGGTAAAGGTTTGCAAAACTCGGTTTTGCATTTTACAACTCGGTGGTAAAATCTAAATTTATTAGTATACTTTATCGTTAAACTCGGTTGTAAAGGTTTACATTTACAACTCGGTGGTAAAAGATTTACATTTTTACAACTCGGTTGTAAAGGTTTACATTTTAAACTCGGTGGTTTTACATTTTACAACTCGGTTGTAAAGGTTTACATTTACAACTCAGTGGTAAAATTTACATTTTACAACTTTTGTACATTTGCAACTCGGTGGTAAAGGTTTACATTTTACAACTCGGTTTTTTACAACTCGGTGGTAAAATTTTACATTTTACAACTCGGTGGTAAAAGTTTTCATTTTACAACTCAGTGGTAAAGGTTTAAACTTTTTACAACTCGGTGGTAAAGATTTACATTTACAACTCGGTGTAAAGGTTTGCATTTTACAACTCGGTGGTAAAGGTTTTTTACAACTCGGTGGTAAAGGTTTGTATTTTGCTACTCGGTGGTAAAGGTTTACATTTTTACAACTCGGTGGTAAAGGTTTGTTTCTGCTACTTGGTAAAGGTTTACATTTTACAACTCTGTGGTAAAAGTTAAATTTTACAACTCGGTTGTAAAGGTTTACAACTCGGTGGTAAAAGTCTAAATTTTACAACTCGGTTGTAAAGGTTTACATTTTACAACTCGGTGGTAAAGATTTACATTTTACAACTCGGTTGTAAAGGTTTACATTTTACAACTCAGTGGTAAAATTTTACATTTTACAACTCGGTGGTAAAGGTTTGCATTTTGCTACTCGGTGGTAAAGGTTTACATTTTACAACTCGGTGGTAAAGGTCTAAATTTTACAACTCGGTGGTAAAGGTTTACATTTTACAACTCGGTGGTAAAAGTTTTCATTTTACAACTCAGTGGTAAAGGTTTACATTTTACAACTCGGTGGTAAAGATTTACATTTTACAACTCGGTGTAAAAGGTTTGCATTTTACAACTCGGTGGTAAAGGTTTACATTTTACAACTCGGTGGTAAAGGTTTGTATTCTGCTACTCGGTGGTAAAGGTTTACATTTTACAACTCGGTGGTAAAGGTTTGTATTCTGCTACTCGGTGGTAAAGGTTTACATTTTACAACTCTGTGGTAAATGTCTAAATTTTAAAACTCGGTGGTAAATGTCTAAATTTTACAACTCGGTGGTAAAGGTTTACATTTTACAACTCTATGGTAAAGGTTTGCATTTTATACTCGACATACGTCGATACCTAGTTTTGCAAATATATTTTAGGCTTAAAACTCGACATGTACGCTGCAATTTACGATAACAACATTCTGTAATTAACCTTTATTTAGTTTTCTAATGAGTGTTTAGTTTGTTAATTCCAAAAAATGAACGACGAGAAACGAGGGAATTCTTGAGTAGGGATAATGTCAGTCGGTAGCAATAAACAAATATGGATTCTTGCCCACTAATAATTTAGGGCGTTCTTTCATTTTTACCTCTACCTCTAGATATTCTAGTGTTTAAGTCGATGTAATGATTAGAGTGATAAAAGGCTTTATGTAATTGTTTAATAAATCCTACACGTGATATCACAGGTTACATCAGCAAAATTTATATTAATGTTTATACAAAATATTCTATTCGTTTTCTTTTTCATAGATTAAAAGATTGGCTGAGTTTTGGCGTTGTCTCATAAAACAGAACTCGTCTTTCGTTTTGTAAGGCACAGTGGAATCCTGGTCAACAATCGGAATAACAAAGAGGAATCGGAAAACTGAGTTCGAAATCTAGTCGAGTTCTTTAGATTCACTTACGTGCTAATAACTTTGGGAAAGGTATGAACCCATTTCTAGCAGGAGAGACTGTCTTGTATAGCATTTGGTGGCAACCAGTCACCGAGAAAGAAACTCTGCATTCAAACCAGCTGCTACTTTGTTAGTCCTGCTTCTTTAAGCGAAGGTTAGAAGTAACTATAAAAAACAAATCCACTAAGATGTGGGACAGGGTACCCTCAGTATCCCCGGTGCAAAACGAACTGGCAAGTCATTGCACTATTCTACACTGAATGTCACCATGAACCACAATTGTAAGATGGAGGCGGAGAAGAGGCGGTGACCACAGCGGCACGAAATTTCCTATCTGAAGTTAGTTTCTTCTTTATATGTAGAATTATTTTTGGTGTTAATTTCTTTAAAATACTATCAAATTCAAAGCAATAAAGCCACTAAGAATCAAGGGGTTACCGAGTTTAGAAGAACAAAAAAAGACAAAAAGATTAGGGATCGAGAAAAGAAGTCTAATCAAGACAGTAGATAGAGATTGGCATTGCATTTAAATTTTTGAAGACCAAAGTTGGCTTGGAAGCATGAAGCCGGAAGAGAGTTCTACAAAGCAGAAAAGAAAATGTTAGAACTTACGATTACATCTATCCATTTCAACTGGAAAATGATGAGACCTAGCGGCCAATCTAGTACTGCATTTAAATTCATAATGTTTATCATTTAATAACTTTATTCGGATGCTTGAATAAAAGGAATGAAATCATTATTTTTTTGTAAGATAACAATAAACACCAAGTGTTATGGAATTAAAAGCTAATAATTTCTTGTTTATACGAAAATCGAAAATCTCGGGAATGTAAATCTTACCTACTTCCCATTGAGTGGCGTAATCTTTCTTCGAATAAAGTATAAACGGATATGCTGGATGTTGGTCCCACCGACAAGCCTTTTTTGGTTCCGTGACAGCAATCCAACCTAAATCATTTGGACAGCCATCGTGGGATTTGGAAGCATAAAAACTTCTCAAGGACCTGAATAAAAGCACCACGAAAGATTTAATATCTTCATATCAAAACAAAAATAATAGAAAAATATTTTATTGTTGGAGATGTAGCAAGGCTTGAATTGCGCGCCAATTGTTCAAAGGCCATGCTGATGCACGTGGGAGACGGACCCGATCAACCCGTCCATAATTAGTAACCCGGTCGAGTTAGCCACGTTTTTCGCATACTTGGGCTCGGAAGTTTCCAGTACAGACAAACTCCGCAGGGAGATCAACTGAAGACGTGCGCTGGCTGCAGCTGTCACGAGATATCTCTGGTGACCATTATAGAGGCGTCGTGATATCTCCCGAGGCAGCAAGCTAACGGTTTCCAAGTCCACCGTCCTGTCTGTGCTGTTATACGCCCTCTTGGCGTGGCCGCTCAGCAAGACCCTCGCATCCCGCGTACATGGTTTCGAGACCCGGGTCGCGAGGACCATCGACGGGTGTACTTGTTCGATCTTCTCCAATAAGGAGCTACACAGGAGGAGCGGACGATCGAGCATTATCTGCACCATCGCTCAATGCCGTTTTCGCTGGCTCGGTAACATCCTGCGACGATCTGATGACCGCCCTACCAGAATCATTCTACAAGTTCTACACGCCATCTGCAAACTGAAGACCAACTCACGGTAAGCTACGCAGCCGTTGGATGGACGTCGTCCGGCAGGACCTCCAGCAGATTAATCTGGCGCTAGGGTGATGTTCCGACGCTCTGACAAGAGCGTGAGAGCCACACCATCCTAGCGTGACATTTGGCAGCAGCGGTGGTAATTTATCAAGCAGGAAGACATGTCATATTTGAAAAAACGATTGAAATCTTTTTTTCCTTGCTGTTGAATTCTAAGCATTAACGTAATCGTCAAGATTTGGTAGTATTTAATACGTTTTGTAAGTAAATACTGGTGTGAAATTTAATTCATATAAACATTCACAAATAAACACATTGATCGATTGTGTATCTAAGGCCATGTACAAGACCATATTAATGTGAAACTCTGTGAGGAGCAAACTCACTATATTAGATAATTGTTTTACAAGATAAACATTGTAAAATGGCGGAGTTTCTAAAAGAATTTATACCTTTTTCTTATCTTTAATTACGAGGAGGTGCTGAAAATTTATTAACACGCTATATTTTCCTCAATGAAATCCTACACAAAATTGTCTTTCATTGGAAAGAAGAGGCTTGATCCAACAGAGAAGTCTTCAATATTATTATTTAAAGCCAAAAATATTTTTAGATTGTAAGATTTCTTTTGAAATCATAATGATTTACTGATACAAATCTTACTTATTAACCCATAGCTGGGAGGAGAAAAGTGCATTTGTGCGTAAGTGAATATAACAAACCCGACCGAAATTCGAACTCGGCTCTCCAATTCTAAGCTGTTATCCATTACAACATACGCACATGCAAGTTTACAGTTTCTGGAATTCCCAAGTAGGTTACCCATTTAAGTACTGACTAGGCGCGAAATTGCTTAACTTCGTTGATCGTACGGAAACTTGATGCGGCCGTAAGCCTGGTCACAGCGAGAAAATGGACGAAAGAAAGAAATCTCAAGGACAAAATAAAGCTCTTTTTTAAGTTGTTGAGCTCAAATATTTAACGATGCAACATTAACATCAATCGTTAATTTAAGAATCATGGTTCGCTAGAAAATTAAAACATGAAAGCAGTAATATTTTATAAGTATTTCTTATTTACTATTATTTGGAATGTACTTAATTAACTTTCAGAGAATGATTACAGCTGCTATTTATAAACAAACGACATTTATATCCATACAGGAAGATCATCGGAAGATTTCTGCTTTAATTGCAACACAAAATGCGGAGAAACAACAGAAAGTGGAAAGACTAAAGTTCTTCTTGCCACTTGCGCTTTGAGATGCAATGAAAAAAAAACGCTAACTTGTCTTTGCGCATTTTCTAATACCCATGTTTCGTCCTGGGTATGACGATAAACTACTTCCGGTAGCAAGCTCTCTGCTCGGGAGATTGGAGGTTTTGAGGCCACCTTTTATTTGCGATTGTTCCCAGGCCCAATCTAACCCGGGGTGGTAGCACCTGTTAGGGTCCCAGCTATGGGCAAAGAGTGAACATCCCTAAACAAAATACTATGAAAGTATGAAAATACATTTTAATAGTAAAAAATACAAGCAATATACATTTATATAAAAAAAATGACCAACAATACTTCTTTATAGTAGAATTAACAATGAAAGAAATTCTTCCTTACATTCATCCTTATATCTTACAAATGCTTAAATCAAACTGCAATCTTAAATATAACCTCAATAAAACTGCAACATAAAACATACATATCACCGCCTCCTAGTAATTAAGTCCATACAAACATGTATATATACAAAAAATATCATTTACCATGTATTCAAATGTGAAAGCAGAATAACATGCCATATTTTTATTACTTTACCCATCCCACCCTGTATTCCAAAATATAAGTTCAACAAAACTACAACATAAAACACACACATCACCACCTCTAGTAATCATGTCCACACAAACATCTATATGCACAAAAGCTGAGTATCATCTGCCATGTAGTCAATTGTGAAATCAGAATAACATTTATCATATTTTTTATTAATTCAAAGCTCCCAAGAAAATTTAATTTCGGCATGACATGACCCATAAGGTGTTGATATGCCGTTAACTAAACAAATCAACAACTAATAATAAATAAGGAATAGGATCAGTTCAGAATGACGAACTAATTGCCGATCAAAATTAAAAGTTAATTTTCATGGAATTTTAAAACTGACAATTATATTTTTCCTATTTAAGTTATTTACTTCTTCTGTATGTGACGTGTCTCCCTTGGGACGGAAGCGATCATGGCTCTCCACAATTTCTTGTCCTTTGTAGCTGTTAATAAATGTTGTCTTTTTGTTATTTCTCCTAAACGTGTCCTGTCACCCGTTTATTCAAACTCGCTGTGTCATGCTTCGTTTTCCTCTGTCCTTCTTGCTTTCAATCTATCCTGTGAGTATCAGATTTACCAAGCCCTCTTTCCTCATTAGGTGCCCTAGAAATTTCAGCTGTCTCTTACTGATGTTAAGAATAAGCTTCCTTTTTGTTTCCATCTTCTCTAAAACTATTTTTCTCGGTCTATAGTATTCTCATCATCCTTCTGTAGAACCATATTTCTGTTGCTTCAAGTCTCGTCTTCAAGTTTGAAGACATTGTCCAGCATTCGCTGCCGTACAAGAGGACAGATATCAAATTTATGAAAATTTCTCGGACATTCAGGCCGGTAAATGTTGCTTAATACTGTTTATTATAAACAGAGCATTTACTTAAATATTTGTATCTATAAAAAGGGTCAAACATAAAAAATATCTTTATATATATATATATATATATATATATATATATATATATATAGAGAGAGAGAAGAGAGAGAGAGAGAGAATGAAAACAAAAACTACTTAATATAAGGAAAAACTTGTACTTAATATAAGGAAATATAAGTACTTAATATAAGGAATATAAGGAAAAAACAGTTGAGATTTCTAGAGCATACATGGAAGGACGGCTTGGAAAATCTGATACTCACATGATGAAGTGCAAGAAGGACAGAGGAAAACAACAGATAATCTTCTTAGCGATCTTAAGTAAATGAATGACAGAACAGGGTTTAGGAGAAATAAGAAAAAAGACAACATTCATTAAGAGCTACAATCGACTACGAAGGAACACAGAACATAAAGAAGAAAAAGATGGCTGCCAATTGTTACAATAGACTTTGTATTGTTACTTTTCCCGGGTGGACAATGGGGTAATTACTGATACACTATTCCAAATAATCATTTATTAACTGTTGTATATTGATAAAGCTCTGAATAGAAACTTTTAAATAAAACTGCTTATAATTTTGATGAACGCGGTATGTATAATTACCTACTTTTAATTGCCAGGTATCCCGTGTTATGTTTATTAACTTGTCGTATATTCTAGAATAAGATCACACAAAAGCTTTTCTACTTACTCAAGGTCAATGCAAAAGCAATTGTTCAGTGCTCCTTTGTAAACGTCTTTCCAAGGTGACTTCCGCACGCGAGACATCGTATACCAATTTTGAGAGTTTGTTCCTCGACCGTCAAATAACAAGTAAACTACCTCCGTGGTATTAATGAACAATGAAAGCTTAACCTGAAATTAAAAATCATTATATTGATTTATAGTCAGTAATGAATATGGAGACGCTATAACTGTGATACGAGTACAAAATGGAATCCATAGGTAAAATGGAATCCATTGGTAAAATTCAAATACTGGTAATGGCTATTACTCTCACTTGGAAGCTGGTGCAAATAATTTCCAACTTTAGATTTGATTAATACACGTGTCGTATGTTAGGCTAATTCCTGCATCATATAAATTCTCATGTAATTTCTTGTTTTGATTGCTATCGGCTGTCCGAACACATACAACACGAAACTCCGCAAACCATTTTTGACACGTTCGAACATTCACAGAAACTTCTCCATAATTCAAATCCTTTTTGTCGTTTACGTGAAATTTTCTTTTTTCCTCTTCCATATGTCGTATCCTTCTAAGACTTTGGCGATCATGGTTCTCCACAATTTCCTGTCCTTTGTACATCTTAGTAAATTTTGTCGATTTGCCATTTCTCCTGAATCTTGTTCTGCATTTATACTAGCTCAATAGGTAGGTTATGCGCTGTTTTTCTCTGTCCCTCTTGCCTTGTCCTGTGAGTGTCAAATTTTTCAAGCCCTCTTTATGTGCCCTGCAAATTTCAACTGACACTTTCTGATGTTAAAAAACTTCGTCGTTGCCCAAATTATTCCTAGCATCCTTCTGTAGAAACACATTTCTATCGCCTAAAGCTTCTCCATTTCCGTGGAGATGGACCCGCATTCACGATCATATAGAAGGACTGATATTGCATACCAGTTCAGTACATTTTCCTTTGTTTCTAACAAGATTTTCCTGTTTCTTAATACTTTGCTTAGCTTTTGGAAGACATCTCTCGTTATTCTAACGCGTCTTCGGATTTCGGTGCAAGATTTTCTGTTCTCGATTAAAACATTACCTACATATTTAAATTGTTGTATTTGTTCGATTTTGGTGTCTTCAGTTTGTAGTTCTCGAGGTGTTTTCTTTTTTTCTGATATCAGTACATTCTGTGCCTAATCGGGTGTTTCCATCAGCATGGCTTCCACCAAAACCTTATATTCTCTCGATTATTTTCTTGAATATTCTAATTAAAAGCAAAGTGTGTACGTCTTCTCTAAGATAAAATATGGTAAATTAAAGATAAAAAGGAACGAAAGAAACGATTAAAGAGTTGCTTACTTCTTTGATCGGTAGATAGAACCAAATATCAATCAAAAGACTCCTAAATAAATCTTTGCAGAAGGTTTGAGTACACGAAGCGGATCCCCAAGACGTGTATGTTCCTTGTCCAAGAAAAGATTCTGATGCTTTGAATTCGCTTCTTTTTTTTTTTAAATCTACTTCAGCAACTACGGTGTTCGTTATTGTTGTCTTGTTAATTCATGTCATCATCTGATTAAACCATTTCCTCTCTAATATTTTGTTCCAGTGTTTTCGCAACACTATTATTAACCAGAAACAAAGAGTTTATACGAACATTATAACAGAAATAATTAAAAATTCCTTACTTCCTTGATCGGTAGATAGAACCAAATATCAATCAAAAGACTCCTAAAGAAATCCTTGCAGAAGTTTTGAGTACACGAAGCGGGTCCCCAAGAGGTGTATGTTCCTTGTCCAAGAAAAGATGGTGCTCCTTTGAACCCGCTTTCCCCCTTCAAAAAGTAAACTTTGATCCAGTTGTTGACTGAAAAGAAAAAAGCAAAAGATGATTTGGTTGTCTGCAGGAAAATAAAACTGTTTGAACATTAGAATAAAACTTAATATTAGTTTTTCTTACTCTTTTTTATCTTAAAAGTTAATCCTTTCTGATGTTTAAAAACTTGGTCGTTGCTCACATGTTATTCTCAGCATCCTTCTGTAGAACCATATTTCTATCGCCTGAAGTTCGTTCTTCAACCGGCACACACACACACACACACACACACACACACACACACACACACACAGACGCGCGCGCGCGTGCGCATAAATTCAAGTTTCACACTCATGAGATCTTCAGACATTTTGATGTTTTGTCTAATGAATTAAATCTTCTGACAAGTTGTCTATTGGTCACACGAACATTGTTTTTTTTATCATTATATTTATAGATACGGTATGAGATAAAGATATATCTCTATCTATAAAAGGCAGGATGTGTGTGTGTGTGTGTGTGTGTGTGTGTGTGTGTGTGTGTGTGTGTGTGTGTGTGTGTGTTTTACGAATGCACGACCACAATTTTCGACGGATTTGCACCAAAATTTATATGCACATGTCCCAAGTTAGCGGGAAGGTCAAGACCGACATTGCATTTCCCAACTCCCAACGATAGTGGAAATAATCGATTTTTTCATGCTTCTACGGCAGTTTTCATGTACTTTGCGGCCATTTTCTACTGGCCAGAGTGAGAGCCTATAGCTGGCTGCCACGAATAGGCAGGAAGATTCTATTGGCCAGCGTGAGAGCCAACAGCTGACTGACACGAATGTTAACTAGCATGCTAGCATGCAAAAAAAAATCGATAGCTGCATTCGTCACAAATGGGAAAAATTTAAATCTGCATGGCACTTTACTCCAATTGGCTCATTCGCTTGCTTAAACTCAACGTTGATTCTGATTCCGCAGAACTGGGTTGGGTGTGAAAAAGTATTTGTTGTTAACATTCTTTTTTCATTCGGTTTTTCCAGTTACGAGTCCTTTTTTTAAAGCTGATCGTTTTGTGTTCATTTTGTTTAGTTCTTTTTTTCGTAACAGATTTAATGTTTAGTATAGAGCTTAGAAAAAAAGTTGGCAGTGTGAGATAGGCAAGAAGTAAGGCATGTAGCAACATCAGCACAGCAAAAACACTCCTTTAAAGGCAAGGAAGGCAAAAAATATTTTAAATCAAGTGATAGCGATTGCTGTATGAGTCGTACGATTTTTGAATCAAGAACGGGCAACGCCGGGCCATGCTGCTAGTTTATATATATATATATATATATATATATATATATATTGGATAACAAAAATACCCATGACGTAAATGCATGAAAGTGGAAAGGTTTTTTGAATATTTATTTTCATCCTTCAGGACTTCAGATGACTGGACTCTACAAGCCCTAAAGGATGAATTGGATCAAGAAAATTCATAAATCTTTGAAATTAAAAAATAAACCCTCTACTTTTTGATGTTTAAAACTGTCACTATATACAACTATTTTTTTTTAATTGTAAAATAGAAAATACAACAAAAAAGCACACTATTTACCTTATTCGAACTATTGTCCTCATCTTTGTCGCCATAATTATTACAACTTTTTAGCCGTTGTACGCTCCGGCCTTCTTCAGGTGGTTGAGATGTCGAACTGAACCCTTTATTTTGCTCACTGGGGTAGACTGTTCTAGTTCCAGTAGATGTCAGTTATCAGTTATCTCCTGTTAATTCCCCTCTCCAAGTTCTCCACTGCCTTAACCGAGTATTGAACTCAACATTACAATCATGACACAGTGGATAAAGACTTAACTGTTAACTTCTTCAAGACCCAAAGATTTCATTATTATTATTATTATTATTGTTGTTGTTGTTGGTCTTGTTATGGATTCCGAGATAAAATCCTGTCTCAAATGAATGACAAACTCAGGAATGAACGATAACAAATAAATGTATTGACGCAATAATACAATTGGTAATACGGTTAGTAGATCCAGAAATGTGGTTAGTAGCAATAATAATATATATACAGTCTGGGAAATTCAGTGTCAAGTATGACTTCCTTCTGAGTCTACGTGCTCGCAACTGTGACTCCTACAAAGCCTATATAACAAAAAAAATTCTCTCTAAAACATTACACCATCCAACAGAGAATTCACCGGCAGCAGTACAAATACACACTGGTCGAGTCCACTTGTATGAAAAAGGGGTGGACCCCATAACAATTATTATTATTATTGAATATATGATAAAACCTTTTAGGAAGAGAAAGACCCTCTGGCCCGAATTGAGCTGAGAAATTAATTTTGGAAAAGGCATGAAACCTTCATTTTTTCTAACTCTAGACGGTAGCTCCACTTGGTTGATTTACTTTTGTGTGTGATTTACGGTATAACAACCACTGATAGGTTATTTAAAGGCGAACCTTATTTTGGATTTCAAGAACTGTTTTTATCCAGTGAATATTATATTAACATTTTCTTTACTTTTTTTTTAAATAACAAGAAATTTTCCAGATACATGTCCTACTATTTAAACCATCTCAGGTGCGAGGAGATTAAAGTTCATTTATAAATGCAGACAGAAAAGCAAATTATTTCTCTATTTAACCTACAGCCATATATCCATGGCCAAAAAGATCGATCCTATTTAATGAGCTTCATTCCAAATGCCTGAAACTCAGAACAAAAACACGAAATAGATAAATACAAATATTTGAATGACTAAAACGAATAAATAAGTAATGTCAGACATAATGACCAACATAACTCTTGTGCAGAAAGACTGTTTAACCTTCTCTACACTATTATTGAATCACTGATTCGTCTATCTGCTATGAGTAGAACGTCTGCTCATAAAACAGCAGTAAAATTGGATCGCTAAACCATAGCGCTTTCAGTTGTACTGAACTACTGCATTCTCAATCAATGTTCTCATGTGATTGAACCTTTCTTCACTCAACCGTTTGTTTACAGTTTTTCCTTTATAACCTGAATTTTGACGGAAAAAATAAAACAATTTCTTTAACAGATCAATATTTCCTAAGTCACCTAAAAAAAATCAATGAAATCGAGAGAAAAATTTATTAAATAAAATGATGAGCATTTATTCAAAAACAGTGGAATGGAATATCTTGAATCATCTACTTTGATTAATCTTCCAGTGACCTATTTATATAATGTTAAATATGATATGATCCATTGGTAAATATCAAGTAAATTTTTATGATAACGAATGAGTATTTGATGGTATATCTTATTGCAAAATAATGATTTGCACAAAAAATTTTTAGAGATGTTGTTGTTGTTGTTGTTGATGATGATGATGATGATGATGATGATGAGTCAGTACTTATTGCTAAAAGACTAGTAGCACTTGGGGTTTCCCATCTCAATGTGATTTTGAGACGATGCTATCTTGGTCTGAAAATGACATTGAAACGTAAAACTGACCGTCATCCTGCAGTATTAATTCCTATGAAATTTGTTAAACATAAACACATATATATATATATATATATATATATATAAAGATAAATTTCCGATATATATATATATATATATATATATATATATATATATATAACTATAATAAATATATATAATATATATAAAATGCCTTTACGAACAAACAGACAATAATTGAACAAAATATTAAACTGTTATCCAATACCAAAAAAAATAAAAACGACAAAACTGAAAAAAAATGAAGAGAAAAAAAGACCTAAAAGCAAATATATATCATTTATAAGAGTATCAATTATAAATATGATTCTTTGAGACGAAACAATCTAACATACTACCTGACGAAACCGTCACGGTAAAGAAATTTTGTTGCAGAAAAACAAAAGTTTCGGATATTTTAACATCTCAATTTTTACATTTTCGCGCCATGAAAATTAGAAAATATTTTTTCATTTTTAACTTATTTTTAAACTTTTGGAGAATATATATTTATATATATTTATATATATATATATATATATATATATATATATATATATATATATACAAATGTTTGAGGTACAAAATTTATAAATAGTTTTAAAAACTAGGATTTCATTGATTTTAATATTAAAAGTCTCTAGAGCCCTTTCAGCCAACATCTCATCAGGAGACAATCGTTGGATTAGCGAAATGAATAATAACGATATTGAAGAGCAAAAAAGATATATAAACATACTAAAATAACAAACAAGTATATATACTTGTATATATAAGGGTTATTGGTGTAAATAAATAGCGAATTTTACAGTTAAAATAAAATATCCCCAACAGATTTAGAGACCTTATAAATTTTTTTTGCCGGCATAGAGATGGTTTTCTAAATCTACAGACCGACGTTCCAAAATCTTCAAATGATTATTGAATCGGCTGTATGAATAATTTAAACCACTCTTTTTTATACAACTTGGCATAAGCTATATTCTCAACTAAATGTTGAGCAATTTTTCAATTTTTCACGGTCCAATCTAATATATATATACACTTTATATATATATATACATAAGGTTTTTAACGAGATTAATTTTCCTTGATGCAGGAAAATTATTATGAACGCCAATTCAAATATAGTCCAGTAAAGGTGGGTTTACGATAAATGCTATAATAAAACCACCTCTACGGTGGAGTTCAACAAAAACATCCAAAAAAAGGTTCTTTTGTCTTTCTAACTTCCATAGTGAAAGACAAACCATTGTGTAAGGAGTTGAGCTTATTAAAGAAATCAACAGCCTCACTTTTATTAGAGAATGTTGTCGATGTGTCATTGACATATCTAACGTAAACAAATGTTTAGTTCACTTTGCCGAAAAAAACATTTCATGGTAGCCCACAAAAAATCAGCCAATGGAGGGCCAAAAATTCTGCCCATCTGGACCCCATCCACTTGATTTTTATACATAATATTGTTTTACTGAACTCCACCGAACTACCTACAATATTATGAGGTCTATAAATATATCCTTGGCGTTCAAGCCTGCATCAAGGAAAATTAATCTTATTAAAACATTATATGTATAGAGCGCTTAAAATTTGTTCTCCTATTAGATTGGACCGTGAATTTGGGAACATTAGGGAGATTTTCCTTAGTAACGGCTATCCGGAGGCCCTTATTGACTATATTATTAGTAAGAAAACTAAGGAATTTCATTCCCCTAAAAATCAGGGGCCTTCTAAATGTCCGGTTTATTTGAAGATTCCCTGGATTGGGGATAGTGGTCAAAACTTAATTAAGCAGGTTAGCAAGTCGGTTTCCGGTTGTTTCCCATCAGTTGCTTTACGTAGCATTTTTCAAACTAGGTCTGTGTTTCCGTCTTTTCGCAAGGATGTATTGCCCTACATCAAATTGAGTAATTTAGTATATGAATTTAATTGCCATGTGCTGCTGGTTATGTGGGGCGTACAACCTTGCATTTGGAAACTAGAATTTATCAGCATGTTCCTTCCAAATACGACTTGGTAAGATAGATAGAATATGCTATCTTCCCCCATGAATATGGAATCGGCTATTGCTCAACATTTAGTTGAGAATATAGCCTGTGCCAAGTTGTATAAAAAAATAGTGGTTTAAAATTATTCATACAGCCGATTCCAATAATCATTTGAAGATTTTGGAATCGGTCTGTATAGGATTAAGAAAACCTTCTCTCTGCCGGCAGAAAGAATTTATAAGGTCTCTAAATCTGTTGGGGGATATTTTATTTTAACTGTCCCTCGCTATTTATTTACACGATAACCCTTCCCTCGTTACAAGTATATATACTTGTTTGTTATTTTAACGTGTTTCCCCTCTTTTTTTTTTGCTCTTCAATATCGCTATTATTCATTTCGCTTAATCCAACGATTGTCTCCTGATGAGATGTTGGCTGAAAGGGCTCTAGAGACTTTTAATATTAAAATCAATGGTTTCCTAGTTTTTAAAACTATTTATATATATATATATATATATATATATATATATAATAATTCATTGAGTCTAGAAGAATCCTCAACAGAATGCAGAAAGTACTGGACGGCCGTTTCGTCCTATTTTGGGATTCATCAGCAGCGCGCATCCACTACCGAGATTCGAACCCGGACTGTTTCGATACAACGCAAACATCATGCCAACTAGACCAACGGGCCTTGGTTACGAAGAAGAAACTGGATAGACTCGATATAGCGCCGCTACTCAAAAATTCCGTCGTGATACTCATCCATGTATTCATAACCCAACGTATTGCGCCCCAAGAGCCACATCTTTCCTTCCCCACGAACCGCAGAGCATTAGCTTGGTTAAGCAAGGACATACAAGTAATAGAATTTGGGAGATTTAGGCAAATCCTTATTATAGTTCAGTGAGTCTAGAAGAATCCTCAACAGAATGCAGAAAGCACTGGACGGCCGTTTTTGCTTTTCGACTCAATCAAACCTGGAGAGATAGATCTGGACAGCTCCTGACTAAATAAGACAACAGTACTCCATTTTGGGCCTGATCTGGCTCCTGAATGAGGAGTCAGGTACTTACTAGAGCGATATAGGGAGCCGACCATATTAATTACATTTTAGCAATGCATCATATGTGGGAATTACACTTGAGATCAGGCGTGACTTTGAGGCACAGTAATCTTTCAATGCACGTTGCCTCCCCGAGGGAACATTCGTTTATTGCGGCTAATGGTAGTTTGGGGCCTGATTAGAGTGGGTTAATTTCAAATCCAACAGAGGTTAACGGCTTCACTACGAAAAAAAAACCTTCTGGCCGTAGGATCTAATAATGTATTACCCATCCTCAACAATTCGAATGCACTTTCCTTACACACGGGGTTTGTTTCTCATTCCGACCTGAGGATGTCTCCTACATGGAGACGAAATACTTTGTCTGTAAAAGCTTTTCTACTTCGACTCAACCAAATGTTCTTTTCGAAATTTTCTTTTTCAAATGATCTTTTCGAGATTAAAAACATTAAAAACGGAAAGAATTAAATAATCCTCGTCAGTAATTTAATCTTTTCAGCGAAAGTCAAAACGTCACTGCTCGCTCCATCCGACTTCGACACGCTTAATGTTCAGATCTGGAATACTTTGAAATCTATGTCTTAAGAAAAAACAGGTAGATTATATTCATGCCTACAGTGTAAAACCGTTTAAGTAGTTTAATTTTCCGATATCTTAGGTGGCATCGATTTTAAAATCACTCGACTGGTCATTCAGGTGAAGGCTACTTGATTGTTTTAAAATTGGATATTTTCTTGCAACCCTTTCAAGATTGGGATCTCGTCAGTATTATTGCACAAACGGACATTACATCAAGTATTAAGAAGAGAAAATCATATGCATCAATTATTAATCACAATAAAAGAGTTACAAAAAATAATCGATATTTTACAAGATGAAGGTGTTTACAGTAATGAATCATATTTTAAAATGGCTGTGAACCAGTATGTTTAAACTTTTGACCCAGCAAAGAACAGTCAAAATAAAAGAGGAAAGAAAACGCCCATTTTAAAACCATAACATAATTAATGTTCTCAACAAGAAAACTGAGGCTGATTATTATAATGGCGGTCAAGGAAACGAAGTTTCATGACGATGATGCTGATGGCGTTGGTATTGAAAATTAGAATAGCGATGGTGTTAGTAGTGGTGGTGGTGGTTCTTATTACAAAGATGATTTACAGAAAATCCAAAAATGAATTTCAAAGCTGTTGTTCACGATAGAACTGCTGCTGCTGCTACTGATGATGATGATGATGATGATGTAGTTCTTATTGCAATGATGATTTTCATGAACCTCAAAAAGAATTTTAAAGGTGTTGTTGTTGTTGTTAATGATGATGATCATAATGATCATGATAATGGTTGTGATGGAATAGATATTAATGATGATGATGATAGCGATTGTGGTACTGGTGGGAGTAGCTCTTATTGTAAAGATAATTTATATGAAATTCATACAAAATCTTCGGGCTGTATTTGTTGTTGTTGTTGTTGATGATGATAATGATGATGATGTCACGTATCTTAATGTTAATGTTGATGATGATGCTGATGATGTTGATGCTGACGATGTTTGGTGACGAAAGGAAGAAGTAAAAGAAGCCATCATAATGAGAACTATTATCTAAGAAATGATAATTATCAAAATGGCAATGCCGAATAATTTGGGAATAAAATAGGAAAAGAGAAAGGGTAGAATACCTGTTAAAGGGAATCATGGAATTCGAAGCCATCTTGAATTTGAAGCCATCTTTGAAGTTCGTTTTTTGTTTTGTTTTTTTGTTTGTTTGTTTAATGAAGGTATGTAGGAGGTTCGAGTGTCGCGGCGTTTTGAGAATGGTTGCAGTTGTTTTTTCTTGTGATGGTAGTGGTGTTCCATTCGGATGGTTTGAGGTGGCACTCTCATGGAGAAAAAAAATTGCATTGAAAATTTATATCGGAAACAAATACGAGTGATGCCGAGTGAAAAATATTTCATTGATAAATAAAGAAAAGAAAGACGATGCCAAATAGAGAAGAAACATGAAAGTAATTAAGAAGACGATATTGCAAAAAAAAAAAAAACATTCGCAATGCTAATAAAAGGATTGTATCACTGAAAAGAAATAAGTGTAAACTAATATAAATGCAGACGATAAGGGAGATAAAAAGATAGCAAAAAGAGAAAATTATGATTCCGTTAGCCATGCTAATATCAGTGAAAATAATGGGATTTTTTTGTTTTGTTTTTTTACAATGATGTTCACCCTGTACAATGGCCGGATGCCACTCGAGGTACATGGGTACAAAGTAAGAGGTACAACTTATCTGGATATGTGTGTATGATAACGATTAAAGCATACACATGAACAGGTTAAGATTGTCTTGATCGGAGAAGCAGCCTCTTCAGTTGAACAAGACACTGGTTCGTGGGAAGAAGCTATTAAAAAGAAAACAATATTGACGATTCGGAAAACGAGAAAAAGATCTTTATAATGTAAATGATATTAGTGAAGGAATTTACTTTGGTTGATAAAAAACGAATTCATTATAGACATAGTGGCAGATAAGGAAATAGAAAAGGTAAATGATGATAGTGATAAGGTAACTATATTTTACTGATGAATAAACATCTTTGGAATCCCAATAAAAAGAAAACGAGAAAAACAATGGATAAATAAGAACATGAAAGTACATTGAAACGATAAAGGATATGATATTACGATAGACATTTTGGGGGTAAAACCTTAAAAGAAAACAATTTCGATGTGCGAAGATAAGATTAAAAAAAATGTTACTTATAAACAAGACGTTATTAGTGAAGAAAAACCTTTTTAATTATAATAAAAATAAAGCAATATGGACGAAGAGGATGCTAGAAAGGTAAAAAAATGGTTGTTCGTGACAACAAAGAAAAAGAAAAATCTTAGCAAGTCTTTTACGAAAACGCAAACTGAATACTTCTAAAAATAAAGCTAAAAATACATTGAAGGATAAAAAAGACAGAAAAAATGGAAATTTATAATTTTGACCGCCATGGCAATATTATTGAAGGAATATATTTTGTAATGTTAGTAAAAAGAAAACAATATGGACGATGAGAAAAGAGAGAAAATAGAAAAATATAATTACAGGGGGGGGGGACAAAGTCGGAAATCATAGAAAATCCCGCACTGCAAATTAAAACGGAAGTGAGTTATATTCGTTATCATAATTAAAAATCCTGTAAAAAGAAGAAAAACACTCTTTGAATATTTGATATGCTGCTTACCTTCTTTTAATTCGTAATAAGTTAACTGATTCGGATCCGTCGTGGTGTTGACTTTCACTTTGTCTAAGAATGAATGGAACATATGGCAATAACCATTATCAATCCTCCAAATATGGCAGAATTCTTGACGCATACAACTCGATGCACACTGTATTCTCGTATGGCTTTTGAAACTTTTAAACTCGGCTTGAGTGCCATCCTGCAAGTAGACATTGTTGCCATTCTCCAGCAACTTGTAAAGTGACTGAATATATTCCCCGTACACACAAATGGAGGCAGGAAGAAGTAGAAATAACATTTTCCATACGGATGAAATGTTGGTACCTGCCATTTTCAGTTCGTCGTGTAGATATCTATAAATATATAAGTAAACAGAGTGCATTTATCGCATTAATTAATTATCATTAATTATCAGTTAATTATTGATCGACAATTGATAGAGCCGACCATGAGCATCCTCTACTGGGCTTCAGTCCTTTTTCCACTACGGTAATATAACTTTCTTCTGACATTTTATAAATACTTTCATAGTAGTTGTCCTGATGAGTTTTCCTCTATTTTACGTAGACATTATGAATTTAAACGCAGCATGAGAATTGCTGCAAGGTCTTCTCATCTTACAGTTAAAATGGTTAAGATGCTAACAGTTTTTTCTGTCGCATTTTCCGCTTAGGGAAATCTCTTCCAGCTACAAACTCCCCACTTAGCTTCGATCTTCAAAAATTTAAATGCAATGTCAATCGTTATCAATTGTCTTCTTAATTCTTGTTCTTTTATTGTTCTGTCTCTTTAATAGTCGTTTTTCTTATATTCTTAACCCATTGCATCTTAGTGGCATTATTGCCTTACTTGGGGTGAAATCATTAACAAATGATGAAAATACGATCTTCACAAGACGCTCATATATTAATACGTTAATTTTTGAAGATCAAAGTTAACTGGAAATATTAAAATATTTAGTTGAGTTTAGTTTGGTATAAAACCAAACTAAACTCAACTAAATATACTAATGTAATTAATTCAATTCTTCGTGCTTATTGAATTTAACTTTTCTTATTTTAAGTTTTAAGACATATATTTTAGTTGCGGACGTTTCTGATAACCCATTGGATTGTCGATAGGCCTTGTCATTCTTCTCTGAGGCCAATGAGTTTTACATGACATTGCCCCTCTCTTTTCCGAGTAATATGTGACAGAGTAACACATGTATTGGGTTAGATGGTATCAGCTGTGAGGAACGACACCTGACCATGTCAAGATGAATATCCTTTATAAAACTAAAGAATATTAACTGTTCTACTATTTAGCTATAGTTCAGGGAGAATTGCATTCATGCCTTACCCAAATGAACTTTATATATGTGAACTTATTTTTCTTATGAATTTGATGATGATAGTAAAGTTTTGTCTTACAACGACTCTTTGGTATCGAATTAAAAGAACATGATCTCTTTGGAATATTCAGATTACATCCACATTAACATATTTGTTAATCATTTCACCCCCACCCCAAGGAAGGTAGTAAAGCCACTAAGGCACAAGGTGTTACTGAGTGTGAAAGAATAAGAAAAAAGAGAAACATTAGAAGAGCAATCAGGAAGAAAATAGATAACGATTGACATTACATTTAAATTTTTGAAGATCAAAGTTAACTGGAAAATATGGAGCCGGAAGAGAGTCCTACAAGCAAGAGGTGTGATGGAATAAATTGTTAGCATAGAACTTACAGTTGTATCTTACCAATCGAAATTGATGAGAACTTGCAGCCAATCTAGTATTGCACTCAAATTCATAGCGGAAAGTTCATTCGAATAATTACCATTAAAGTATTTATAGAAAAGGTACAGGGAAGATACGTTACGGCGGTGAGAAAGTGACTGAAGCCGAGATGTCAGCTCATGACCAATAATATTGCGGATTCTTTGGATTTTTATCAAGTATCTCAAGATATATAGCATGAGTAATATTCAAAGAATGGACGAATGGTCGACTTATAAATATGTAATATAGATTCAGGAGAGAAAAATTGTCTAGAACGGCATAGTGAAGCAACAGCAGCAGATTTAGCAATTGATTCTGTATAATCTTTCGGGGATATGGGTGGAATAATGGATAGCGGCTTTGATTGAGGAATCGGTGGAGCCGAGTTCGAATTCCACTCGAATCAATTACATTCGTTTAAGTGCTAAGAGAGAACTCTTAAGATGAGTTCTCTCTTATACCTTCGAGACGCAATTGTTTTTCACTGGTTCAATATCGAAAGTATTCGGAAAAAGGGGAACATTTTTTTTAAATGTTGTCTGTTGCGTCGGAAGAATATTCGAGACTATTAAATAATCTCAACATGTTATTTTTTAAAGTGGAAGTAAGCAATTCCAAGACTGGAAAAACAAAGCTTTAATCAAGGACTGGAAAACGAAAGTGCTGTTCGAGGACTGGAGAAGCATCTCTCTTGTACGTCTAAATTCGGGATACATTTCAGAAACCAAATGTTAACACGTCCTCTGTTATCAATTTGAGAGGCGGCTGCTTTTACTGGATGAATTCAGGAGGCTATTCGGTGGATGGGAAACAAGGTGTTAAGGCCTTCTTTTGCATATCATTTGCATATCATTTGCATATCATTTGTACCTCTTTATGATTTTTTTTTGTTATCTGTCCTAAATTCTGTTCTATCATCCATTTACACAAACTCATTCTTCTTTTTCTGTATGCCATGTCTCTTCAGGACATTGACGATCACGGCTCTTCACAATTTCCTGTCCTTTGTACCTCTTAATAATTTTTTTTATCTCTGCTAATCCGTATTCTGCGAAATAAATACACATGCTCGTTAGGAAGGTTATGGGCTGGTTGCTTCTGTTCCTTTTGTCTTCAGTATGTCTTGTGAGTGCCAAATTTTCCAAGCCTTCTTTCCCCATTATATGCCCCTTGAAATTTCAACTGTCATTTCCTGATTTTAAACAAAGTGTCCTTTTTGTTTCCATTTCGCTAAAACTTTGATATGTTCTGTTCATGTTATCCTCAGCATCCTTCTGCAGAGGCATCCTTGTTGTCTCAAATCTCTTCTTCAACTGCGCGAATTTTCTCTTTTCTTCATTTATGTGCTCTGTCCCTCCAGAAAATGGCTCTCCACATTTTCTTGTTCTTTGTACATTTTAGTGTTTTTTTTCTTTTTGTTATCTCTCCTAAAACCTGTTCTGTCATTTATACAACCTCACTTGGAAGGTTATGCGTCGTTTCTCTCAGCCCCTTTTGAATTCAACCTGTCCTGTGAGTATCAGATTTTCCACTCCCTTTTTCCTCATTATGCGCTAAAAATCTCAAATACCTCTTCCTGATGATAAGTATAATTGTCCTTTTTGTTTTCTTCGTAGTTGCTCACATGTTCGATGCATTACTATAGTTAACACCTAGGTTGCCCTTACCTCCAATAAATTGTCTGGTCACCCGTGCCTCCAGTTCATTCTTAGTTCGCCTTTACCTCCAGTAAATTGTCCGGTCACCAGAATCTTCAGTTAGCTCTTAAATCACCTTTACCTCCAGCAAACTCTTCGGTCACCCGTACATCCAGTTAACTCTTAGGTCACTCTTAACTCCAGTAAAATTGTATGGTCACCTGGACTTCCAGTAAGCTGTTCGGTCACCCGTACATCTAGTTAACCGTCAAGCCACTTGTAGCTTTACTCAGCTTTTAGACCAACAATATTTCCATCTATATAATAAATGCGAATGTCAGTGTGTCAGTGTGTCACACTTTTTCAACTTTACTTCTAGAGACCGTAGTCCAACATTTTGGAATCAGGTCGACTCTGTGAGCAGATTAAAAATATTCCGGGTCGGATCCAAACCCGCAATCCTAAAATTTTGGATTCCCAAGTTTTCATTACTGCGATTGTTTTCGGATTTTGCTATCTTGGCTTCTACTGATAAAAACAATTAAAGGGGCATAACTCTCTAACTTTCAGTAGCTCATGTTCAATTGAAAAAAAATCACTGTTCTCAAATTATAGTGTTTCAAAATAAACTTGTCCCTGTTTTCAACTTTACTCTTAGAGGATAGAGACCAACATATTATACCATTTTGGAATCGGGCCGACTCCGTGAACAAATTAAAAACATTACAGGCCAGATCTGGAACTGCAATCCTGATATTCTGGATTCCCTTGATTTCTTTACTAAAATTGTTTTCGGCGATTTTTTTACGTGATTTTTTTGCGACGAATTTTTTTTTATGATAACAATTTTTATAACTTGAAAATAAATTTGGGAATAATCGAAATTAGTTGCAAAATCCAGCGAAAGTCACCCATGAAAATAGAAATAATTGTTTGTACGGAAAGTAAGGACCTACGTACATCAAACTGTCTTTAACTTAAGTGGCGGTAAAAGAGTTATCGTTGAACTTTTAAAATGCAGACTTAAATATTAATGCAATACTTAAATACAACGATCAATTTTTGACTTTATTGTTGTCTATCGCATCTCCTTCTCCCTACCTATTGCGATGAAGACCCAATCAAGAACCCTCCAGAGGAGCTAGATTAAATGCTGCCCGATAGGGCGGCTTTTAAGCTAGTTTTATATATGCGCTCTTATTTTTTGTTATGAACTCCATGATGATAACAAAGTTTTGTCTTTGATGGACTTACATTTAATATTTCGTTGGCACCGATATAAAGGTATATAAAGATATGCCGAAATTTCTTGCCTCCCCTCCATCAATTTCAAAATGATAAAGCCTCAATTCTCTATAAAATTTCTCCAAGAATTATACATTTACGAGACATTGTCTAGCTTTAATTGTTGATCCTTTGCAATATATTTATTGACGATTTTTAAATAATTTCTAAAACAAATTGCAATACCTTTCTATAATAAAATTAACTGTAATGGATGTCTATGGTTAAAGTCTTGTTTTGTGGGCCATGTCACTCCAGAACCTGGGCGAACATGGTTCATTGCAACTTCCTATACTTTGTAAGTCCCAATAATTCTGTAGTAAAACTCTTCTTCATTTTGTGTACCGTGTCATTTTTATTACGTGGGTTATCATGGCTTCCTCCCCTTTATACCTTTTAGCCATTTTTATCATTTTTCTATTTTTCTATTTTCTGCCATGCTTGGTCTGTCTACCGTAAATTTATATTTAAAATATTGTAAGCAGTGAAATAAAAGAACATGAAAACAGGCTGTAATCGCTTTGGAATTTGGCATCGAAATACCAGAATATGAAGATATATTTATTCTCTTCTTGGCTATTAACCGTTAACTCTTGTTATCTCTTAGGTCACTGGTGGCTCTAATTTACTGTTCAATCTCCTGTTTGCTCATTTGTGCCTCAAGTTAAGTTG